TTTGGATAACAGGGGAATACAAAGATGGATTGGTTGATGGAGCAAGCTGAAAGCTACAAGCATAATGGATATCAAGTTTTGCTTCCCATCCTCTTCCTTATACAGAAGTACACTAAAGTAAGGAAAAGAACCCCTGTTTCTCATTCATATTTTCCAGTAGCTATACTTGCCAAAATTTTCCAGCCATCTGTCGTCTAGAGCAGATTTAAGTTCTTCCTGTGAAAAAATCAAAAGCATCAATATGCATTATACTCCCATTATCCATCACTACGCATTACAATCCCATTACAATGCTGGCGCCGCCGGTGAGACTTGCTCATGGTGAGTAAGTCGCCGCCGCCGGGACAAATAAATCGGGCGTGTGGTGGGAACTGAGAAGCCTCACTGAGTTGTGGTGGGCGACCTTCGAATTCCAAGTAGGAATTTAGTGGTTAACGGTTTTGAACCGCAACCGCGCGGTTTCGGTCGACCCGGACCGCAAACCGCTAACCGCTTTATTATTAGACCGCAAATGAAACCGCAATCTTAATGGTGCGGTTTGGATTGACCGCACAAGCGATTTGGAGCGGGCGGAGCGTTTTGGACCGCACCAATGCCCACAACTAGTTAGGACACAACTTGGGGACATGAAGAATATTATCCAACTTAAGACGAGAATCAGTCAAAGAACCAAGTCCTGCGACCGGAATATGGGAGTCATTGGCAACCTGAAGACGTAAACTTTTCACATGGGTAACATGACAAAGGATTTGAGAATCACTCATCATGTGATTGAAACACACCGAGTCAAGTAACCAAGGTTTAGCTTTACCTGACACTTAAAGAGCGGCAAACATGGAGTTAATGGCATCATGAATTGGCTTCTGCAAGAAGGAATGTATCATCTTTTCCACTATATCCGCAGACAAGGAAGAGGTGTCGGAGCTGGAAGGATGGACTACAAAGGGCGACGCAGCAGCGGGGAAAGAATGACCAGAATCAGCTCGCGGAGCACTAAGGGAACCATTTGCAACATATTGGTCGCGATTCTTCAAGGTAAGACATTCGCTAATGATGTACCTAAAACGACTGCAATAAACTCCGGCCAGAGTATCATGAGAAACCACAGCAGCCGAGAATGATTGCGTTCAACATGCACATCTTCAAAGACTTGAGCCGAGCGAAGGAAGGAAGAAGCAGATCTTCTTCTGTCCAAAGCCGAACCGAAGAGTTGTCATAGGTAGCGACATCCATGTTGCCTTGCTTTAATAGAGACAACTTGTTTACAATTTCAAATTGCAGGGCAGTGTTCTTGATGGTGTAGGCCGCAGCGAGATGCGACCACATGTCTAAGGTGGTTGAAAACAGCCATAAACCCAAGACAATCGAGGTGTCAACCGAACACAAAATCCAAGTCTTGACCCTTGCATTGTTCATAGTCTAGCGATAGACCTCTTGCTCGAAAGCAGGCGGTGACACTAGCTTCTTCTGAGTACCATCAAGGATCGATAGAAGACCGTTGCCTTCAAAAATATACAAAATTGGAATTCCCAGACACATAGTTCTTCGGATCGAGACGAACACTAAGGGGATTAGAATCGCCGTAAGATAGCTCTGATACCACGCTAGACATAATGAATGAACGGAATAACGGCAAAGACAAACAGATTTACGTGGTATCCCTTAGTATTCAAGACTAATCCACGGGAGAGCCTCAAGACTCTTCAAGCTACTGATCTGATTACTTAGTTAAGCATTCACGTTACAGGTACATATATATATGGCCATAATCGGCTCTCTAAGGGAAGGAGAACATAAACCTTAGCCCTCTACACATGTACACGTCCCGTGCATGGGCCAATGCATGGGCCGCGTACGTACATGGGCTTTAACATCTTCCACGTCAAATTAGTTTTTATTTATAATTTTCAAACATAAAAGCCCAAAACAAAAACCGAAATGGGGTCAATGTTTTCTTCCCCTTTCCCCTCATCTTCTTGTTCTCTAGCCACATCACCTTCCCGACCTTCTTCCCTCCTCCTCTACCTTGTTGCCATTCTCCGTCCATTGATTCCTCCTCATTCCTCCCCCAACTCCACTATTGAAACCCTTATCTCCTCACCGCATTCGTTGCCTTTCGTTATCCCTCCGCTCAGCCCCTCCCCATCGATAAGAATCCCACCCCGTCACAGAACTCTCGGTAGGCTTCTCACTTCATCCCCCCGACGACCGTCGCCTCCTCTCCTGCTAGCGGCATCTCTTTCGCGCGCCCTGCCCAGCCGCCGCTGCTCGTCTCCGCACCCTCTCAACTCTGACCAGCACCTCCTCTTCTACTTCTCCTTCCTCTTATGGAATCCAAATATGGGATGACGAAATCCCCCGCTTTGACTTAAGAAATTGACGGCGGCGAGGATTTTCAGGTGGAGGACGGGCTCTTGAACGATGTGGCTAAACTTGATGAAATTCCCTGCTTCGACTTGAGAGGGTTTTTGGTGGCCCCAACATAAGGGATGGTGAGGGTGGCGGCACGGCTGCGGGCTTCTTCGATCTCTTCTTATCTTAGATTGACACCTTGATTTTTTTGAGTTTCCTTTTCTACGGTACTTGATCTCTAGTGGCCCCAAATTACTCTGGAGAATGAGGCATACTTGACAGAGGAAATTGTCGATTAGGAGGATGCTCTTGTCCGAGGCGGGGAGGGGAATGGATACTGATAGGAGGGGGTTTTGTTAATTTTTTGGATAGAGAGAGGAACGGGAATGAAAGGGATAGGGATAGGGATGGGAGGGGTTGCGTTAATTCTTTTTTTTTTAATAATTAAGTAATAAATAAGTTACAAAGGTTGACTGTCACGTTAGAATATCTCTTCCTTGTCAGCGTAACATCTGCCAACTCATCATCATCTAACGGAACTGTTAACAGAGACTTAATGGTTGGCTAACTTTTTGTCTTTCGATAGTTGTTGCTATTATTTCCTGCTGCTTAATTGTTTTGGCTAATATATTATTTTTGCCCTAATGTTTTTGTGTTAGAAAATCATATTAATCGTGCTTTTCGAAATATGATTTGGCTTATAAATTGCTAATTCTTACCACAGTCTTTCATACGTTGGCTTTTATCACCTATTTTCAATTCCCAACATGTTAAGCAAGATTTGTACAAATTTTTTGAACATTTAGAGATCGTTTGAAGGGTGCAAAAAGTGCATAACGAGATGAGATCAAGGTTAACGATTGTGAACTTGAAGAATCTAGCCGTGAATATGATCACGGGTAGTATCATGACCATGACCTTGCCCATGACTTACCTCACTTTTGTGAGACCATGGGGAAACCAAAAATCATGGCCATCCCATGAACTTTGTACTCGTGATCTTTTACCTCCACTCATAACCAGTGGCGGAGCCAGGAAATTGGTCAAGAGGGTGTCTTTATCATAATCATAAAAAATCACCTATACAATAGAAAAGTCAACTTTAAATTAAACAAAAAGTCAACAACGCAATACTCTAAATTCACACAATTACATCAAAATAGTTTCACGTACACCGGTTACTACGTCAAACAAATAAGTTCAGTACATACAAATCAAGACTTCCATTCATCAAATATTACAAATTAGAACTCAGAAGTACATTGGAATTGATTTTGTGAAACAAACAAGTGAACTTCAATCGGTACTTCTTCACTTTCAACTTTGTTTAAACAAAAGACAAGAAATTTCTCTGTTGTAGAGCTACAAAAAAAAAAAATGAGCGAGTTTAAACAAAAGACAACAATTTATTACTATAAATAAAGACGAAAGTGCATTACATAACAAAACTCACTCGATCGAAATGATAAGAAATTCTTTCTGCAACCGAATGGTCATTGGTTGGAATTTGTATATACCCCTACTCGAAAAAAATTTCTCCAAAGCCAAGGGGTGCTGCACCCCCTCCTCTCCAAGTGGCTCCGCCACTGCTCATAACCACAATGCTCTTATAGTTTAGTACCAATAGTTAGAAGCCAATTATATAGGAAAGTCAGGAAAAGCAATGATTGTAAAACTTTTCTGAAGATTATACCGAAAAAGTAATCGATATGATATTTTACGCTGAAATCATGATTCAACCATTTCATACTGTTATATATCGCCTACCGAATTAGCCTCCATTAAAAGGTTTTCTGGTCAAACTTCTATTATAGAAAAACACTAATCTTATTTAGGTCAGATTGCAGAATGAGTACAATATCAGATAACTTGAGTTAATTATCTGTACACATCTCTTTCTTTTGACTATTCCTTCATTCATTTTAAAGAGAGAGTCAGAGAGAAGAAGAAAGAAAAAAGCTGCCCAATTCCAGTTCTTCAATAAGGGAACGCCTTCCGGTAGCAACACATGCAATCGTTGATTTCCTTTGTCTGCCCTTTGACTTTGCAAATGTAAACCAGTCCTTTTGACCAACCTACGCATTATAATTATATAAATAGACACAGTTAGGGAGCCTATAACTCAATAATTAACTGCTTTACTTTGATTTTGTTTTATTTTATTCGACCAGCTTCCTAAACCAGTGGTTACAACACATGTTAGTTAGTACACCAAACCTTAATAGCGGCCATGAAAACAGTAGTTTGCCATAATTAAATTAAGTCGGTTGAGTGACCATTAATTGGCGGCCGACGACCAGACCACCACCACCACCACGACGTCGGTAGAAACATGGGCCACCGTCTCTCTCCTACCGGCCGCCGCCTCTTTCGGTTTCTCTGCCCCGCCACCACCCTTCCCTCAAATATATATATATATATATGTATCCACTTGTCAACTACTAATATCAAGACACAATCACCACCAAACCAAGCAGGTGGGAGAGGATATCGAATCCAACAATAATTAAACAATGATCGAAAGTGTAATCACTAGTTAACAGTTCAGTAACAAAAAATTTGTATCAAATTGAGTCCTTTATCATATATATATAAAATAATAATAATAATAATTCATACAGTTTTACAACAACAACAAAAAAACAAAAATAATCTGTAACATTTAATTACTTTGGTCACTTCGAATCCACTTTCATATTCGTGGACCGAGTGCAAATTAACTCTTGTGTTTCCTCTCTACACACTTCATTAAAAATACACGGAGAGAGAAATCAAGGTAAGAAGAAAAAAAACCTCACCATCACCCAAAAAAAAAGTAATTTTTTTTCCGGTGAGAAAAACCAAAGCGGGGATGAAATGCCATGCCACGTCACGCCAAGCCATTACTCTTGTGGCCGACAGACGACGACGGCGGCTGCCAGACTACCGCTCCTCCGGCTCACGATCGGAGGAGTAGGATAGTCGGAAAACCCACTTGGTGAGATTCTTCTTCCTCAAGCCCTTCAACATCTCATGCCCGCTCCTGCTGCGAGGAATCACGTCGTTGTAATTCTCCTCCACGAACGTCCTCAGCCTCTCCACAGCCAGCTCCAGGGTCTCCTCCGACATGTTCGCGAAACAAACACGAAACCACCCCGGTTCAACGCAATGGCACGAAGAACCGGGCGAGATGTTGAGCTTCACGTCGTAAACAATCTTCTTCCACAGCTTCATCTCCGCTTCAAAAGTATTCGCTTCAAGCAAATGCCTCATATCAACCCAACAGAACAACCCGGCATTGCTCTTCAGACAGCTAATCCCGGCCTTCTCCAACCCTTTGCGCAGCGACCTCTGTCGCTGCTTCAACCTCCTCTGGCTCTCCGCGATGTAGTTCTTGGTGAACTTCTTGTCGGAGAGGAGAGCCGCGAGGAGGTACTGCGTCTGCGACGAGACGAGGCCGAAGCTGGACATTTTCGTCGCGGCGGAGACGACTCGGTCGTCGTTGGAGTAGATGGCACCGACGCGGAACCCGGGGAGGCCGAGGTCCTTGGACAGGCTGTACACCACGTGGACGCGGTCGGCGAGCTCGGTGTGTTCGAGCTTCTTGTCTTTGAGGACCTCCATGATGCTGACGTAGCCGGGGGAGGAGAAGGCGGTCCCCGCGTAGATCTCGTCGCTGATGAGGTGGATCTGCTTGTCGGATATGAAGTTGACGAGGAGGTTGAGCTCCGGTCGGGTCAAAGTGGTTCCCAGCGGGTTGGAAGGGTTGGTGACGAGGACGCCCTTGACTTTTAAGTTGCGTGTTTTGGCGTCGAGGTAGGCTTGTTCGAGAGCTATCTCCGTGATTTGGAAGCCGTTGGCGCTGGTGCATTGTATGGGTACGATCTCCACTCCGGTTCTCCACTTGAGGTCCCGGTCGAAGCTGTAGATGAAAGGATTCAATGCACGTTTCGTTAATTAGTTAAAGAAAAAAATGTAACAAGAATCTGTAACACACGTTACGTGTATTATTATGTAAAGTGGACGTTTTATTAGGTAGGTACGTACCCTGGGTAGTAAGGGGTGGGGAGGAGGATGGCCTCGCCGGGCTCGGCGAGGCAGAACATGAGGGTCTCGTTGGCGGAGGTTGCACCAGCGGTGAGGACGATCTTGTTCTGATCGAATGTCACCTTGTTCCCCCTAATTTCCGACATGAACTCGACCAAAGCCTGTGGAGGAGAGAGAGAGACAGAAAGAAACGTAATTAGCAGCTAGTATTTAAAATTTCCGTGTTATGATATGATATGATACGATACGATATGTGGTTTACCTTTTTGAAGGCGGGGAGGCCGTGGTAGTCTTGGAAGAGGGCGAGGTCGCGGAAGACGGAGCCGCCGGGGGCGTGGCGGTTGAAGGAGGCGGGGTCGGGGTTGGCGGCGAGCCATTGCTCGATGAGGTCGAAGGAGAGCTGGTTCTCGGCGAGGCCCATTTGGATGATTCCGGCGGGGTTGGTGGCCTCGTCGTATGGGTTCTTCTCGTACTCTTCCCATCCCAGGAAGTAGGAGGAATCCTGGCCGTGAGTGTTGCACGTCGCTTTCCTAGACAATATTCCCATTGGTTTGGCCTTTGTGGTTGTTTGTATCTATGGCCAGGAAAATGAATGAGTGATTGAGATTGGAGGAGAGAGTAGTAGTAGTAGTTTAGTTTCAAGTTGTGTGTTTTGAGAAATGTGAGAAAGGTGAAGGGTGGAGTGGTGGCGAAGACTATGGCGGGTGGGAAGAGGTATATATAATGTGGAAGGGGAGCGGCGAGGGGAAATAATAACAAAGGAGGATTTTAATTATTAGGAAGAGCAAGAGGATGGTATAACATGGTATGTGGGTCCAGAGAGAGAGAGAGAGAGAGAGACAAATTTGACCATTTAGGACATAATTTCTCACTTGATTGGGACAATTTGTTTCTATATCGTAATCCCAAAAGAGAAAATTCGAATTTCCATTTCATATATATATATTTCTTTTTTGTTGGGAATAACCCATGGAATCTCTACGCGCTTCCTTCCGGTTTAAACCAACAGAATCGGGCAAAGTGGGGGAAAAAGTATTACCGACACAGAGACAAAACTAAGTTAAAAAGAGTTTGGGCAATTAAAATTAATTCTTACTCAAGGTCACCTCGTTCAAATCGCAACAGTAGCCTTGAGGACCTGACAACGCAACATCAACAAGCTAAGGGCCTTCAGTAAGAACCTGGCAACGTAAACTTGGAATGTCATAAGAAAAACTAGGGCGCACTACCCTTGAGGAAAATGTCATCAACGTAGATGTGAAAATTGGAAATGTAACCCTTCAATTCATGATGGAAAAAGATGCATCTGATTGAGTAATGTGGATTCCAAAAACATGGAGAAACAAAAAACTACATAACACTACTGAATACTCAATCAGATAAAATAAAATAAAAACAGAATCGTTCAAACTCAACACACAAATTTAACGTGGTATGAAATGATATTAGTATCCTCTCTCTCCTGGAATGTTTTTTTATTTATTCCTCTTTAATCTTTAACGGACGATTTCTCTCTCGTAATAAGTAGTCGAATTTTTTTTTTCTCAGATAAATCATATTAAATGTGCTCTTTAAAATGATATTCACTTTGATATATTTTTAGTACAAAAAATTTGAATAATTTTTTACCAGTCATTACCATATGGTATGCTCCTATTTAATACCATATGGTAAGAAAGCGTACCATGACGGTATGAACATACCAATATGGTAAGAAGGTTGAATACATGATAATAGAAGTATACTAACTGTCATTTAAGACTTTCATCATTGTTTACTACAAGTTACCACCCACATACCATAGTGGTAAAGTATGGTAATTTTTTATCTAGTATTTTTTCACCCAAAACTTTTTAGATCCAATAGATCATGATGAACTCGTTCTTTCTGAGCAAACGTTTTCACCCAAAAAAAAGTTTCTCGAAATATATTGAAAATTGATCTCATTTTGTAGAGCACAACGAACTCGTTCCATCAATGCTAAAAAAATTGAAATCCGAGTTAGAACGAATAAGATAATATCTGATTAAGAAAACTAGGGAAAATAAGATGTCTTTCATTTACAACCTTTATATCTGAATTTTCTGGACTCACTTAGACTTAAAGATCCAGATTTAGTTACTAATAGCTTAGTAACCATTGGTTACTGACCCTATCCTAAGCCCATCTCTAACAAATGTTTAAGAGACATTAAAAAGAAACGGAAACAATAAAAAGAACCAAACTAAAATCTTTTAACAAAATGTTTAAGAAACAGGTGACCCACAAAGTCCATGGTAACATGAAATTGTAGGGGCCCAATCCAAACCTCTGAATGAGACCTCTATGTTTCCTTGACTTGTAGGGTGCTTTCGTTTAATTTTTTAAAGAGATTTCTTTGAAAGAAACTCAGACTAAACAAACACAATTTGTCATTTTTTCCTTTCTTAAACCAACCATTTCTCGTGCACCATTCAAATTTAAAATCAAACGAAGTTTCACTTAAAAACTTACTATCAATAGTGAAATAAAATGGAATTCTATTATACATTAATAATCTATATAACAATTATCTTTTAAATTTGCGAAACCAGGCTAGGTTGGCTGGTGGGGCGTCTCTAGATGTGGACAACGGAAAATGGGTATTTGGGTATATTCGTATCCGTCCCTTTTTTTAGGGTAACGGGTTCCCAAATATCCGTATTTTTTTTACGCGATTGAATTTGGGATCAAGAACTGCTACTTTGGGTACCCGCGGGTTACCCCGTTAATACCCGTTTGGATATTATGGGTACCCGTTATACCCATCAGTTCAAAGTTGAGATGGTGGTGGAATTGAAAATGTAAATGATTTTTTTTCTGTTTGAAAGGGGAAGAATGTGAGGGGTTTCCTTCCACCAAGGCCACCATAGCCAAACTTATTTGTGTATATAACTATTTGATTCTATCTTTTTGGTTGTTTATATATCAGTTATTGTTGTTATTATTAGGGTTAATACTCTATTTTTGCCCGAAGTTTAGCGTAAGTGACAGTTATGGCCCCATTTTTTAAATAAGACATTTATGGTCTACTTTTGAAATTATTGGACAGATTTGGCCCGGCGTTTGGGTTGACCGTTAAACCTGACGGTCAAACATTTTAACCGTTAATGACTCAATAAAAATTGCTGATCTGGCTGGGCCACGTCATTAAATAATTATTTATTTACTTTTCTGAAAAAAATTGAAAACAAAATGAAACAAAGCAGCAAATTCAAAACCACAAAGTAATTTCGGTCAAAATCCCTAAACTTCTTCTCTCTTGACTCTCATCAGCAACTATCACCCTCGCCGATAAAATCCCTAATCTTCTTTCCGATAGTATACTCACGGGCGATTGACGATTGAAGATGACAGATGCAGGGGCTACCGATGGGAAGATGAATATTGACGATGGCACCACCACGCGCCCGTCATATAGATTCCAATCGGGGACCTCCGCCCTCACATTTATCCAGGTCCCGATCCGAATCTCGCTCTCTATGCTGTAGGTCCGCCGGACGGATCAGTGGCTTAGGGGACGGCCTCGTTCGCCGAAGGCTCCCGGTCCACCCTCGACGTAACGATCCGCACCCCGACCCTCTCCGAATCGCAGTACCGGTAGGTCGAATAGTCCCACAGCCGCGAACTTGGATACGAGGTCGGGTACCATGGATTAGTTGCCTCGAGAGAGTAGAGCCTCGACGATTTTGGACACGGTGGGGTCGTTTCTGTTGGGCTAAATCAGGCCAAGCGGCTGCAGCCGCGGTGGTCCGTTCGTTGACGGTGGTGGTGGGGAGAGCTCAGAAGAGTGGACCCGGAAGACGACCAATAGAGCGATGCAGTAGCTGATGATGATGCAGATGGAGAACGCTCCCAGATGGATTGTAAATTTGTAATCGTTGCCGACCGACGACCACGATGGAAGGTCGGAGGATGAAGAATTATTTCGGGAAGGGGATTCTGGGTACGAAATAATTGTTATCTAAGAATTATTTGTTGAGTTTTTTATTTCAAGTTTTTATAACTAAAACAGACTGAAAAAAAAAAGATAAAATAAACTGACATGGAAGCCACATCATTGCCACTTCAGCGCTGGATGCTGAGTCATTAACGGAATAGATGTTTGACCGTTAATATTAACAGTCAACAAAAGTTTCGAGCCAAATTTGTCCAATAATTTCAAAAGTAGGCCATAAATGTCTTATTTGAAAAATGGGGCAAGAACTGTCATTTACGCTAAACTTCGGGCCAAACTAGGGTATTAACCCTTATTATTATGAGCTTCTATACTATTGGTTCTATTTCTTATTGTTGGGACGAGGCAGACACAGTTGCAGTATTTCTAGGCAAAAGATCCCTTACATAATGCAATCAGACATCGCCGCCGGCCAGTAACTGGCAGTAAGAAAAGAGCTAGTAAGAAAGAACACTTGCTTCATTTTTCATTTACAGCGTCTTCTTTTATCCGGAGCAAGTTTCCTTGATAGCATTTCGTATGTAAGAATTGAACGGGTATTTACGGGTAGTATGGTTACCCGTTATCCGTCCCGTACGGGTAATGGGTACTCGTTAACCCGTACGGGTTTGGGACATGGAAAAGAGATTGCTCTTCAAATGGGATTGGGTACTTGTTTCAAACGGGACAGGGATCCCGTCCCGTCCCGTTGCCCACCCTTAGGCGTCTCAGGTAAGGTTCTCAGTTCTATCTTCAACGACCCAAGTTTCGTCTCGCTCCGCCATCACAAAATATGGTGTGTGCGTGGGGATATTCCTGAATGGTGAAAAAATTATTTTTTAAATTCACACAGAAACACATTACTGTTTTTTTTTCTCCAAAACATAAATTTATTGTACATTTCATCAATTAAATATTTATAATACCCAACCAAAGACACCATTTTCTCTTATTTTCTTCAAAATTAAATACAAATCAACGATATTCAAATTATCTATATAAAAGTCATCTTTAAATTCACACATATTTTAATATTTTAAAGCATTATTTTTTTCTGAAACATAAATGTATTTTACATTCCATTAATTAAATTCTTATAATACCCAACCAAATACACGAACAAGAGTTTGATTTCATGAGAATACCACTGATGAAACCTTCACTTAAATAATAGCTAACCAAAAAAAAACCTATATTACCCATATAAAAAACATCCAACCAAATACACCTTTTTTCGCTAATAATTCTTCTTTGCAGAAAATAAGAGAAATTATAAACAAACATGCCCCTATTCTTCCCTCCAACACATGTCGGCCACATTCTCTCTCTCTCTTCCCATTCTATTCCGCTGTTTCTCTTCGATTTTGTCCATTTCTTCCTAACAGTACCAAACAAATCTTTTATCGTTTGATTAGTTAGGGAGAAACTATTTTATTAAGCTGAATATTATTTTTATGGGTATGAAGGATGAACTATACTACTATAGAGTTTAAAAATTAAACTACCGAATATATAGATTGCATCTAACTCCAATATGATACCATTAATTAGCAATGTTTGATAAAATCGGTAAACAAATCCCACTGGTTTTTAATAATTCATGCGATGATTACGTTACTTCCCAAAATCAAATAAGAGTGTCTGTCCTGGTGGGTAGTTAGTTCCATAACCATTTTGCAAACAATTATTATCTCGGTCTATCATGGCTTCAATAATTAGTTGAGATCCTTACAGG